CCCAGCCTGGGTCTCCCCCAGCGGCCTGGGAAGTGTGGCCCCGAGGCTGACTGGGGCCCCTTGGGGGCTCTTTATGTGTCCTTAGACACCTATCTGTGTTGGGCTTACCAGCTGCTCTCACAAGCCACCACAAGGTTCATCGCTTAAACAGCGCATATCCCCGCCGTGCGGTTCTGGGGTCCAGAGTCTGATCGGTGTTGCGGGCTACCTTCCTCCCTGGGCTGGCCTTCTCCAGCTCCTGGGGTGCCTGCACTCCATGCACCTTCCCCCGTCTTCATAACCAGCAGCGAAGTGTGCCCCTCTCCTGCCTCCCTTCTTGCCTTGTAAGGACTCTCGTGACACCATTGGGCCCACTCCAGTGACCCAGGGGCCTCTCCCCATCTCCAGGACCTCCATTTCATCACATTGGCTAAGCCCTTTCTGCCACAGGAGAGGACATACAGGCTCCCAGGACTGGGACATGGGCAAGTGGGGGGGGGGCGCATTATTTTGTCAACCACATCACCCCCTCTGTTGCGAAGGAAGACCTGGGGATTCAGGAGGCTTTGCTAGGCAAGTTTCGACCTTCAGTCATTCTGTCTCTCAGCTCATGACCCCCCTACCACTGGCTGCCGTGGGCACAGGAGCCCCTTCCCTCCCTACCACTGGCTGCCGTGGGCACAGGAGCCCCTTCCCTCCCTACCACTGGCTGCCGTGGGCACAGGAGCCCCTTCCCTCCCTACCACTGGCTGCCGTGGGCACAGGAGCCCCTTCTCCTCCCTAGGCCACTGCTTCCCTCGGCTAGGACATTCCAGGTCCAGGCAAAAAGGCCTACAGGGACCCAGCATCCCCAGAGGTCCCGGGTCTGCCTCCCTCGTGGTCAGATGGCTGAAACTGCCTGCCTGGCGCCTGGCTCGGGAGAGGCCGGAAGGGTCTGCCCCGCCGCGTCTGTCCTCTCAGTTGCATCCCGCATGGAGCTTCGTCAGTGTTCACAGCCAGCCCACGGGCGAGGAAGGACCCTGGAGAAGCTGTCGAAATGCAAAGCATCCCCATCCTGGTTCCCCTCCGCTGCTCCTGCAGATCCTCCCCTCCTCAGGGAAGGCTGGGAGCCATGGTGGTTAGGATCAAGCGGCCCCTAACAAAACCCCACTTGATGTGGTCTCTTTCTACCTAGACTGGGGCTCAGAGGGGTGGAGATTCACAGAGAAGTAACTCAAACCCAAGATCCGTTCTCCAGCCAATCAGGAGCCTGGGGCTTGTGCTGCTAACAGCTCCTCAACAAACAGCTGTGCAAATCCCGCCCCATCCCGCCTGGGAGAGGGAAGGAGGAACCAGTCCTGCCAAGAGGCGGCTCATTTGGTGGACCAGGAAATGGAGAGTGGCAGGAAGCCTGGCAGAGGCCAGCCCCAGAGAACAGTGGGAGAAAACTGGACCCCACACACCCAGATGCCATACTCGGGGCTTCCCCGGGGGAGGGCGGATGACCCCCACCTGAAGGCTTTGGGAAGGTGCTCTCGGGGGTGGTGAGGAGCACTCGAGGGAGGGGACACATGCACTGGCGTCCCTGCCCACCTCCTGGGGGCCAGCCAGCTGGGCTGCTGTGGTCACAGAACTGTCCACCCCTCGCAGGGTCCCGGTTCTAGGGCTTACCTTGTGATTGAGCAGCGGGCCCCCCAGGAAGCACCCACTCTTCCCAGCTGAAGCTGACAGGCAGGCTGCGTGGCCCCTGGGCTGCCCACTCTGTCCCTCATGGCCTGCCTGGGGAACGTGGATGGAAGCTGGGTGCTGGGGGAGCCAGGAGTAGAGCCAGCCCCCGCGGTGGCCAGGCTGAGCTCACAGGCCGGGCTGAGCTCCCAGCAGCACCCACGGTTTCACATGTGGTTCCTTCCCGTCCCTCAGCGGCAGTTTAGAAACTGCTTCAAAACAGCTTGTCTGTGAGAAATTTTTCCCATTATTTATCCCAGCTCCTTCCTGGTTGGAGTCGGGGAAGCCATTTTGTGATGGACGATGACCCCGGCTTCTCTTCCCTCGTCCTAGCTGCTCCGTGCAGCCCTGCTCAGCAGGGTGTCTGTGGAGAGCGGGGCCCTGCAGAAATGAGCCCACTTCCTCTGATGCCCCAGGACGGGACACAGCTTGTTCGGGCCCGGAGTCAGAGAAGTGAATTGGCAACAATGGACGTGGTGGGGCGTTGCCGCTACCCAGGCACAGCCCTGCCATGCGGTCACACGTTCTCATTGCAAGGCAGCTGCGAGAGTCGCCACCATCATGATCACGGTCATTAGACCCGTTTCCACCACATTCCCTAAGCTGTGCCCTGTGGGTCCCAGGAGAGACCAGGGCATCCTTTCGAATTCGGGAAGTTTAATGCTCTCAGACAAAAACAGACCTCTGCTCTGCCCCGTTGTAGGAAGGTTTGCTTTTCCTCTGGGTCATGGGAAGGAGTCAGCGTCAGGGATTTGGGGCCTGTGTGCCTGGTTCTGAGCTGCTGGAGTTGTAGGGGCTGCCCCAGCTGTGGTGCAAGGAAGGAAACGGCTGCTCGCTGAGCACAAAAATGCATTAACTTGGTCAGCAGTCATTGTGGATGCCAGACCTCGGGGTAACGTGACCCACCGTCCCAGTTTGCCTGGCACTGAGGGTTTCCTGCAATTCAGGCTAAAGCCAAACTAGCCCTGGGCAAACTGGGATAGTTGGTTACCCTGGGAGCGGGGACAGAGCAGAGAGCAAGACAGGTGCTGCCTGCCATTCCAGAGCACTGCCCTTCTTCTGCAATGACGGCCACACAGGAGAGCCTGTGGCAGGAGCGCCCGGTCCGGCTGTGTCCTCTCTGCTCTTCACCCCTGCCCCCAGCCTGGGAGGTCAAGATCATTATCCCAGTTTCACAGGTGAGATGGAGGGGGCACCAGTTGGCAAACGGTCTTTCCCAGTGTAAAGGGCAGTCAGAGGCAAAGTTGGGACTGCAGCCTGGCCGCCTGCTCTGAAAGGTGTTGCTCTGCCCACAACCCCTGCCAACCCCTACCAACCCCTACCGCCCTGACCTCACACCTAAGTGCCACACATTCCTTACCCTCTTCCTAGAGAGAAAGTAGCAAAGAAAGGTTCCCTCAGCAGCATTCACAGGGAGAGCTGGCTCTAACCCTTCATCAGCTTTCTCTTCCCCAGGGGTTGTACAGAGCTGGGGCTAGGAAGGGTTAAACAAGCAGGCCAGGGTGGCTCTGCCCAGGAGCCCACAGACCAGTCCTTTCCTGCCCCAGCAGCCCACACAGTTCTCTGCAAAAAGAAAAAAAAAAAAAAAAAAAAAGAGCAGGACGATAATGAGCCAGCCACCCTTCACTGATTTGCACATAATCGTATCTTTCCCTTGATGGAACCAGCAACCGGGCTGCCCCGACATCTATTCTCTCTATCTCCCCCACTTTTATTCAAGCGGCTCAGACTGCGCTTGCTTTGGTTCACTGTTCAAGAAACATTTACTGAGGCCTGGCTTGGGTGGCACAGAGGTAGAGGAGGGAGAAGGGCTGGGGATTGATGGGAGCCTCCCTGTGCTGGGCTGCACGGCACAGACAGGTAACCAAGGCTCGAGATGAAAGCCACTGCCCCAACGGCACTTCCCAAGACAGAGTCCCTCAAAATGCTCATGGGTACTGGGGCGTGCTGTGAGTGAGCTCCTCACGGCAAGGATATGAGCTTATCACAACTGTTAGCATTAGCGTCGGCTCCATGTTACAGAAGAGGAAACTGAGGCCCAGGAGGTGTAGTGACATACCCTGGGCCCCATAGATAGAAGCGATCAAGCTCAGGTCCCTCTGGTCCTACCTCCTGGTCTCAGCAGAACAGACCAGCTGGGAGAACAAAGAGCCCATCTTGATGCTGCATGTCAGGCACTGTCGGAAGTACTCAGGGAAACTATGCATAGCCCAGTGGGCAGGGCCTCAGGACCCCTGGGCTCATCCCGGTCTGGTCAGACTCAGTGCAGGTGACCCTGCACATCCAAAAGCATAGGATGCAGCCAAAGCTGGGATTTGAGGGCAAATCCGCCCTCAAATCTTCTGCCCCGTATAAGGACATTGTCACTAACTGCAGGGCTCGCTCGAATCCAGAATGAGCTCCTATAGGGCCTTTCACTCGGTGACATCTTCAAAGCCCCTTCTCTTCCCTTCCCCAATGCGGCCACATTCTCACATGCCTTTCGGGGCTCGCCATCAAACCCGCCACCCTGACCATCAGCTCGCTTCCCTGAGAGGGGGCACCCCCACTACCCCCCGCCCCACCCTGGCTTCGGGCTGCTTCCTTGCTGCTGCCCAGTTGGCAGGCGTCCTCCTTGTCTGCAAGCTCCTGGAGCATGTGGGCAAGGAAGGGAAAAGGGGTTGAATCCATACTCCTTCTCCCAGGCCCTACCTGGCAGGGTCCACAGCTCCCAGAACTGTGCTGCTCCCCTGAGCACCTGTTCTGTGCTGGGCTGTGTGTCCGGCACCCTGGACAGGCCGACAGGATGAGGAGAACACGGTGCAGCCACTTTGCAGGGAGTGCCGGAGCCCATTGTGCATTCTTCCTGGGGAATGAGATCAAGACACCACCTCCCGGGGTGTGTGGTCTTGCAGCCCCCGGAGGAGAGGGACCCCCGGGCCTGCCTGTGCTCCAAAGCTCACCTGACCCCTGACCTGGGGCACTTTAGGGTCCCTTCCACGCCCTCACTTCTACGGTGTCAGACGCTCACCCAGACAGGAGCCCCTGACTCACGAGAGAGCTCCTCCCCTTCCAGGTGGGCTGTGGTAGGAGGCCCCTCCAGTGGAGTGCAGACCCCTTGAATTATAGCTGTAGCCACCACACTTGTCTTTGCCAGGTTCCTCTTCTGGAGACCAGGAACTGGTCACGCATCTGTGTCCCCAGTGCCCAGCCTGGCAGGGAGTGGGTGGCAGCCTTGAAGGGTGAAGGAGGAAAGGAATGAATCAGCGAGTGGGTGGGGTAGGCCGGCTGGGCCATGCAGGCCAGCCCAGCCCCTGACAGTCTCGTGTCCCTTGCAGATGTGCTGGTGGACGGACAGCCGTGTGACTGTGAGTCTGCGGCGGCCTGCCAGGTAGGCGACCCCGTGCGCCTGGAAGTGCGGCTGACCAACCGGAGCCCGCGCAGCGTAGGGCCCTTCGCCCTCACCGTGGTCCCCTTCCAGGACCACCAGAATGGCGTGCACAACTACGACCTGCACGACACCATCTCCTTCGTGGGCTCCAGTACCTTCTACCTCGACGCGGTGCGTGGTGGTGTGCAGGGTGGTCTGGGAGCCTCTGGTCATGTGGCCCAGGCCCTCATGGTCATCGTCCCCCTTCCCTGGGTGGTGGGCTTTGGGGTCAGCATACGTCCAGCAGACGACAGTAGCAGGGGTTCTGTGGTCACGTGTGCACACTGAGTCTGAGCCTGCCCCACCCACTGCAGGAACTTAGACAAGCTCACCTCGTTCTCTGTCCTGGGCAGTGAGGCCCTGAGCGTTGGTGAAGCAGGAAAATGTGCAGGGAATGGGAGCTATGCCCAGGACAGGGTGCCACTCCATGATTGGACCCTGCTGTGGCATCACTGTGATGTCACTGTCACCCATCCCATGCCTGCCGCTCCTCCCATGGAGAGGCTCCAGCCCACACCCTTGGCCCCCACCTCCCAAGCTGCCTCTCAGCCCCTCACTGTCAGGCCCCAGCACAGGCTGTCATTCCGTTCCCCTTTGCCCCAACCTCTCCCTCACTCCCTCCCACACTCCTGACCCCCTGTACCCCCAAACAATTCAGGAATGGGAATGTTGGCAGCTCCTTTCAAAGACAAATCTGGCTTGGAGAGGCACAGTGACCTGCTGGAGGGGGCATTGGAGCCAGGCCTGGGCCGCCCTCACTTCCCCCATAGCACCTATGTCCAGGCAGGTTCCTGAGATTCCTGGCGGCTTTGGGTGGCCCATGCTGCTGACCAGACTGACGCGTCTTTCTCCTCCCTGCTCAGGTACAGCCATCTGGCCAGTCGGCCTGCCTCGGGGCCCTCCTCTTCCTCTACACGGGCGACTTCTTCCTCCACATCCGCTTCCACGAGGACAGCACCAGCAAGGAGCTGCCACCCTCTTGGTTCTGTCTGCCCAGCGTGCACGTGCGCGCCCTGGAGGCGCAGGCCTGAGCCCGCCCACTTCCGTCCCTGTTTCTGCAGGGCCAGAGGTGACCCAGCCTGGCCTCCCACACCCCCTGCGATGAGCAAGGCCTTCACTGCAGCCCTGTCTCCCCCTCCTTCCCCAACCCCCACCCAACCCTCTCCTCCCATTCCTCCTGTAGCATCTTTGCTGGGCTACGCAGAAGCCCCCAGACGTGGCAGCCCCACCCCGTGCCACACCCCTTCCCACACTGTTCCCTGCACTATACACAGGCCGGAGCAGAGGAAACCCCAGAGTGGGTGCCCATTCAGCCCAGGTCCCAGGATCCCTGCATCCGTTTATGTGACCTGGGGCCCCAGCCTTGCTGTGCTGCTCACCCCAGCAGAGGGACCTCCCTCATCCAGCCACTTCCCTTTGGCCATAGAAAGAAACGGTGAGCATGAGGCTGGGCACAGCCTGAGGGCGTGGGCAGCTTCCCTCCCTCCCTGGGCCTTGGAATCCCCCAAGGCTGGTTTTCTTCCTGGAGACCCCCATGGGCAACTTGGCAGGAGAGATGGTGCCGTAGGTGGTCATGGATGGTTGACACCAAGAGAGGCCTTCCACCCATGGTGGGCAAATGTCCAGGCCTGGGCTGCCAGCCCAGGGCTGTTTCTGGGTGCTCCCTGGCCCCAGGGTGGTATCTGGGTACCGTGGCTATGTGTGTCCATGTCTGTGAGCAGTTCTTCAATAAATGGCCTGCCTCCTCCTCCTGCCTGCCTCCCTGCATCTGCTGGCCCAGTGCAGTCCAGGGCCCCCACCCAGCCCGTCAGCCCACACCTCAGGTGGCTGGCTTCCCAGCAGAAGCCGGACCCAGGAAGGGACGGGTTCTGAGTTCGAGATCCTGCATAAGCAAACCCTGAGACAGGAATCTGGGCACCAGCAGCTTGTCTGGGAGGTGGAGGGGAGCCCCGCAGGGGAGGGAGATCACCCGTGAAGGAGTGTGACTGGGCCCGAGCTGCCGCCACAGTGGGCAGCTGGCCCTGCATTCCTCAGGGAGAACAGGAGAGAGAAAGCACACGGCTCACATCTCCCTTGAGGGCCAGAGCTGGGGGGTGTCTACACCACCCACAAGAGTCCTGGCCTGGGGGCAGGCTCCTGGCTGTGTTGACCCTTGGCTCTCCAGTTCCCGGGAAGGATAAACAGCCCTTGGTCCCCAGCAGATGTCAGGCTTGTCAGGCATCCACTGGGCACTGAAAGTCCCATGGAGTGTTGGGGACAGAGAGCAAGGCTTCCTCAAGGCCACTTGGCCAAACAGGCAGAGCCAGGAAGTGGCTGCCCTGGCCCCCTATGCGGCAGAGTCATGTTGGCATCAGGAGGCCTGCAGGGCTGAGGGAGCTTCCGGAGGACCTGAAGCCCCAGGCCCAAACCTCCCTCGCTGGGAGCAGGGTCACCCTGTGGCCTCCGTCCTGAGGAGCAGGTTTTTCTTCCATCTATGTCCTCCTGTTGTTGCCCAGTGAATGATGGGAGCACTCTGTGAATGATGGGAGCACTCTGTGAATGGTGGGAGCACTCTGTGAATGGTGGGAGCACTCTGTGAATGGTGGGAGCACTCTGTGATGTGGTGTGGGCTGGGGGCATGTGGGGGCAGCTGTCCAGTGGCCCTCAGTCCCTGGAGCTCATTCAGCATCTGCTCGAGGCTCCCCAGGGAAGGCAGCCCCAGAAGGTCTGGCTGCAGTAGTGGGTGGGGACCCCAGGGCAGTCTCTTCAGCCCTTCCCTTCAGGACACATCAGTGTAGTTGAGGGCCTGGACACTTGGGCTGTTTCTGAATGGAACAAACAGCATCCATGTGTGTCAACCTCAACAGAGCCCAAAACTATGCCATTGAATGAAACAACACTTTGCAGGATGATGGGCGCAGTGCAACCCCACTTGTGTAGACAGTGTGCCCCCCAAATTATAAATTTTATATGCCTCCAAACGTGTCTATAACAACATGTTTAAAGGTAGAAAGGATACACATCCCCTGTAGAAGAGTGACCTCAACTGGGGTTGCAATTGACATCTCATCTGATGTCACAGTGAGGGTGCTGGTCACCGGGGACTTGAGTAACGTACTTTCCCTTCAAAAGCACAAGAGATGAAGATACAGGTACACACATGCTACAGACATAGATCCAGCCATAGATCCAGATTAGATATAGATGCATATAGAAGCCTAGAAAAGCCAATATGGAAAACTCTGCTAGGTCTGATTCTGAGTGGCAAGCATATTGGTGACTATAATTCTTTTTTGCAGTTTTCTATATTTTTTAGTTTCCCCAAATACAAAAAATACCCACAACAGTTACCAGAGAAAATGCTGGATGCCACAAGAAGAAAGAATGTCAAGGGGCAGGAGGCAAAGTTGTCTTCTTGGAGGAGAGAGTGTTAGAAATAACCCAGACCTCCTGGAAAATGACCCAAATACAGCCTGACTGTGCCAGCCCCAGGCCCTTCCCCAGCCCCAGGGCACCCTTTCTGTCCCAGTAGAGAAGGTGACCTGGAGTCAGGTCTTGTGTGTGCTCCAAGCATTTGGAGCTTTACCATGGGATGTGGGGAGCCAGGGTGTTTTTTGCTGGCATTTCTGTGGCTGGGTCATTCTGGCTGTGGAGCTGTGTTCGTGGGCAATGGCTGAGATGGAGGACCTGAGGCAGGTGTCTCAGTGACAGCACAGTATCCTCCAGCCTCTTCCAGGGCCCCATGCTGCTGGCTACCTGGCAATACAGTCCAGCGGTTGCTGCTTCTCTAGGACCCTGGTGCATTCAGAAACCTCCTGAAGGCCAGCGGAGGGTAAACCAGGAATAGACCATGTCCATTTCACTTCACTAGCTGAGCGGGTTGGTTTTGCCCTTCTGATCCTTGGTCCCTCAGGGCAGGACAGGCCTGCAGTGACCCCATAATCATGCAACCGTCATGCTTGTCATCTGAAATTCACAAGGAAGGCAAGGATTCAAAGGAAGATGTCTGAGATGCTGAATTCCAGCTCAGCCACTTGCCAATTCCTTGACCTTGGACAAGTTACTTAAATTAAGCCTTGATTTTTTTCATCTGAATAAATAGATATACAAATACTTATTTCATGGGCACTTTCATACCAGTTTGTTTGATTTAATCTCCTAGATTTTTTAGCACATGATAGCAACTTCTCAATAAATACTGGGCCCCTTCTCTTAGCCTTCCCATTGCTGTTCTTTTTAATTCCATCCACATGTCCTGTGCCTGAAATATCCTGTGCCATGTGCCTGAAATTCCATTCTTCTCCTAGGACCCTTAACAGGCCACATTGCTATGCTCCATTACTCCCCTGCATGGCTTACTGTATTAGGTAACATGAAGCATCTAAGGAAGAACTTTCTAACACAAATGCTAAAATGGGACAGGGAATGCTGATGGAGTGAGCTCTTTGTCAATAGAGCAAAGTCCGGACCTGTAGATGGTTTCAAAACATGTAAGCATCATTTGGGGATTCTGAGCCTGCCAGCCAAGAAATTGTCAATGATGACTTGTGAAGAGGTATTTCTGATCCCAGTAAGCAGGGAAGAGAGAGTGAGATGTATGTGACCATATGGCTCTTGGGACCTCAAGCAATGTCTTAAGACACAATAAATTTTAATCAAAAAAGGGTTTCAACATGAAGGACTAGAGATCTAGACTAGAAATCTAGGCTAAGCCTCTCACTGAAAACACATTTGTAAGTGCATCCATGACCTGGCAGGAGAGTCAGAAATACTCAGCTCAGTACCTGTGTCCTGAGAGGTAAGCTGTGCACTGATGCCAACTTCCACTTTGAGGGATTTTGCCAAAGCCAGAGTATCAATTTCTTCAGCCTTCCAAAACTGGAGGAAAGATGACAAAGCCCAGGGCCCACTGGCTGGGGAATCGAACAGGTGACTGCTTCCCATCAATTCGAGAGCCCAAAGATTACACCTTTAGTAAAGGATGAACTAAAAATAATCCTCTTCCCACCCTACTAGGAGAGTAGATGTAACACTTCCCTGTCTTGACCATTTGATTCCAAATTGACCCTCCCATGAATTTGCAGTCCCAAATTACACTCCCTAACTGCCTCTTCCAAACCTTAAGTGTTAATTAATTTCAAAGACAGACTGCACTCCATCATACAGGTACGAGACAAAGAAACACATCATTTTTGGAGGAATTCATTTTTATCCAAAAACCTGCAAGACTTTCTATAAGGAAAATGATTATTTTAGAGTTTAAAAACAAAGAAAGTCATGAAATACACAAGGAAGCAATGCATCATGAGTGAGAGCTAGGAGAGACAAAATCAGCAAATGCAGGGTTGAAAAAGAATCAGATACTGGACTTATCAGACATAGACTATAAAATGACTATGCTTAACGTGTTACAAGAAATGAAAAAGAAGACTAAAATGGGTAAAGAGCTAGAATATAAGAGAATCAAGCAGAACTTCTGCAACTGAAAAATAGAATTGAAGTGAAATATTTAATGAATAACTTGAAGAGCAGATTAAACTCAGTTCAAGACAGAACTAGTGAATGAAAGGTAGAATTGAAGATGTTATTAAAAACAGAAACCAGAAAATATGAAAGAAACTTAAGGAAACACGGAGGACAAAGTGAGAAACTCTCAAATATATCTACTTGGAGTTTCTGGAGGAAAAGATAAAGAAAATGGAGAAAATGCAGTATTGAAGAAATAATGACTGAGAACTCCTCAAAACTCATAAGGATAAAAATCCACAGATTCACGAAGTCCAAGAAATTCCTAGTAGGATAACAGTTAAAATACACAGTTGACATATCATAATACAATTTCAGGAGACCAGATGCAAAGGGATGATTTTTAAAAGAGAAAGACAAGACAAATTACTTTCCAAAGAGTGGCAATTGATTAACAGCTGACTTCTCACCAACAACAATGGGGTCCAGGAGTTAGTGAAATAATACCCAGACGTGCTGAGCAACAAAAATACTTCCCAATGAGTAAAAATAATGACATTGTATTATAAACAAAAGCAGAGTTTTCCACCACCAAAACCTCATTAAAGGGAATTTGAAATACAAGTAGAAGGAAATTGATACCAGATGGAATGTCAGAGATGCAAGAAGGAAGGAAGAACAAATTCAGTGATACATATGTCAGTAAATCTAAACAAACGTTTACGGTACGTGTAATAATGTGAACTGTTGAGTTACAGCATAATAGAATTAACGTATATAGCAAAATAGCACATAAATGTTGGTGAGGGGATTATTGGAATTAAAGTGTGATGAGGTCCTTTAATTTCAATTTCAAAGATTTAGGAGGAGGGTAAAGATATTGATTCACTTAGACTTGGACTTTGGTGCTTTATTTATGAAAGTTTCAGCCAGGCATCATGTTTCATGCCCGCAATTCCAGGACTTTGGGAGGCTGAGGTGGGAAGATCACTTGAGCCCAGGAGTTCAAGACCAGCTTGGGCAACATAGCAAGACCCCATCTCTACAAAAAATTTAAAAATTAGAAGTGGTGGCTCATGCCTGTAGTCCCAGTTACTCAGAGGGCTAAGATTGGAGGGTCACTTGAACCTGGAAGTTTGAGGCTACAGTGAGCCATGATTGTACCACTATACTCCAGCCTGGGGGACAGAACGATAACCTCTCAAAAAAAAGGTTTCCAAGTTTCCATTTCTGGGGTAACTATCAAGAAGATGAAAAATAGCATGAATAACTTCTAAATTTGTGAACCCCAAAACTGGAATAAGGA